AGGACCAACGGCTTTACGTGCTTTCCGAGGCACGAGGGTGATACACCTCCAACTTCCTGACTCCGGGCAGCTATTGAGAATTTTTTTGACAGAAAAACTCAATAATTGATTTTTTGGCTCGACCCGGGATTCGAACCCAGGCCTTCACGATCAGCAGTCGCACTAATACAACCACTAGACCAACGAGGCAGTCATAACCATATATCACCAAATACAAGTAACACGTTGGCAACGGTGACGGAACGGCAACGTCGCATCTCCTAATTTTTGTGCGGAAGTCAAATACGGCCATAAATGAAAGTATTCACAAATCGAGAACAGCGCTATTATTTTTGCAACGAAAATTAGCGGGACTACGTAAATATTCAGTACAGCAAGATTGGAAGAAAAATGACGTCCAATTTTTTTAAGCTATTGCATAGCTTCTATCGCGGGCCTTGAGTGCGGGAAAATCCAGAAATTTCGTAACGAAAAAAACCTCACGCTCTCCGACGGGCACGGAGGTGTAGCTTGAAGGCCGTGCATTGTCTAACGATGGTCTAACGTCGTTTCTTTTCCTCAGTCTTCGACACGGTGTTTATGTATAAAGTGTTTTGAAATTTTGAATATGAATGAACAAAGTGCATTTATTATTAAGGCTGCTCTCTCGCAAAAAGCTTGAAAAAAGCGTGCAGATGAACCAACTTTTCGTCGACACTTACAGAGAAATTACATATGAAAAAAAATAGCTAGTAATCTACATGATCTGATACGTAATTTGGTTTAGCCATAATTTTTCTATCGGTGTCACATAATAAATAAAAAAATACCCAAATCACTATCGTTGAGAACCACTTTACTCCTTCATTGTTTATCAAAGGAATATAAAAAAAATATCTACTGCTTTGCAATACAAAATAAAATAATTTGGTTTGGTTACTTTTTAGAAATATGTATTATTTTTATGATAATAAATTATAAATGCGTCCCGATTAAATACTGCGTCTATATCACCCCCGCATTCGTCCACGAATTCAGTGCGGGGCGCATCGTGTTGCTAGGTGGACGTACGCCGCGTTGCGAGAGCTCAGCACTACGAAATAAAATCGTAAAATATTACTGCAAAAATTTAATTTTGTTAATAGTGGAGTAGGTTTTTATATATTTTTATAGAGTAAGGGTGACAAATAAGCATACAGTCTATCAACTTGTAAGTGGATGCTGTCGCCCATAGATATCTACATCAGTTATCGATTAAAAATCAAAATGTAGACGCGTAGTCACCTCCGAGGACTAAGATGGAAATGTCTAATTTCTAATACCAAACAGTTTCGTTTCTCTTTTTAAGCAAATCATGTTCTGTTGTTCTGCTGCTCCTCGCCGGTCCGAGTATTTTAATTCTTATGTAAACTAAATAGGTGTAAACAGGATGGGCATTGGCTTTATGCCATCTATCGGAAGCCATAAGTTTTCTGTCGTTGACTGTTATCGTCTTTTACGACACCCATGGGATCCAAAGGGGTGATGGCTCATGGTTCTATTACACCGCCACCACGTGGCTCAACATTAGTTAAATAGAAATCAGCAAAGATTCTTAATTTAGAAGATTACAAGATATATTTAATTTTATTTCATTATGTGACAAACAATTTTTTTCGTTATAAGAGTTACTCCATTTATGGCACATGTCGCGTACCTATGTTTATAATTAAAACAGGGTCTTTATGCGTTAGACGGCGCATGTTAGCATTATATCTCTCGGTCGTTCGGTTTTATTTTTTCCCGTTCATTTATTTTCCAACAAATATTGCCTTACTTTCATTTCATCTGTTTATGTCAGCTTTATTGAGATGATAATATGTTACAATAAAACTACCAATTTTTTACCCCAATTGAAAATGCCGTCGCGAATCCAAACTAATTAGTGCTACATTAGCTTAATTTTTTTACGTCCATTTATGTGAACATTCTGCATTTATTTTAAAAGGAATACAAAGTCATGTATCCACGTCAGAGTTATTTATTGAAGGAGGAAGCATGATATTTGCATAACTTATAACTAAACACATTGGGATGAGTTTAATATTCAGTGAATATGAGATATACATATTTTCGTATACAAAATATTATATATATTGGATTATAACAATCTTTAGATTTTTCGGATGCTAACAAGGAAAAATACGTTTATGTAGTATGAGAAATATATTATTATTCTTCAGCCTCAATAATTAATTGGTTTTCAGTTGAAAACGGACCTAATCTTTATAATCGATTTTTTTTTTAATTGCTTTGCTTGTCAGACGGACTTGCAGAGATATAATTGCAGTTCACCGTCTTACACATTTGACAAATCTGAAATTATTATAACGTTATCTTTCGTCATGAATGTTCCGAAATCTGTTTAAATGAATTCAATCACTTAGAATATTTATCACATTGTTGTACTTTTTTAATTACGCCCGAACACAATTGACATATTTTTTTTTATATCGAAACCATTGTAGAAGGTAGGTTCATCTTTCTTTACGGATTCCTTCAGTGGCCTGAAATGCCAAAGTTGCCGAAACAACAGCGTTACTGCCTCTTTCAGGGCTACAACCGATATATGTATTAATTTACTCTGCGCTTATGTGAGTGTCCTAAGTGGGAAATGAGTAAATTCTTCTGTATTTGAAGTTTTTATAACTGTTGTTTATTTAACAGAACATGCAGATGCATTAAGCATTAAGGAACAATTATTCTGATTCAAAGATGTTTCTTTTGAAAAGAATTCTACAATGTAAGCAGTTATACAAAATAGCAGTAATTGTATTTAGGTTTCAATTTTTGCGTTTGAAGCGAGGCGAGCTACTACTATTAAAACTTAGTGACAAAATAGTTAACAGTCAATTCAAAGTCGCCGGTAAATGGCTTGATATAGGTTTTCATCCTTGAAAAATGTTGAATGATTATTTTCTATATATTTTTATAACTGTAAATAAGCGTGCTCATTACTATACAATGTAATATGGTTCTAAAAGCCCAGTATGCCCGTTGTAAAAAGATCTGTCCTGATCATCACGCTTGGGCGACCGATATGACGATCGCAGTGCCGGATGTCTCGCTAATTTGGCGCTGTTTCTAATCGCTGATCTGAATATTGAACATCTCGCGTAAATAAAGATAGCGTGGATAGTAAAGCTGACATACTACTATTTATTGAAGGCTGAGAGGTCGTAATAACATATTATTTTCCCTTGCCATTGTGTGAATATTATTAAGCCTTCATTGCTGATACTAAGCGTTATATTTTTTAACATAGTAGCTAATTTTTCAACTTATAATCTAGCACATTTTAGTGGTCAGCGTGTCCTGTGACACACAGGCCTCTTCTAGCTCTTTCAAATCTTGTCTATTGTTAGCTTTTTTAACCAGATTGTCCCTCCAATAATCTTGATATTATCTGTTCGCCTTTTAGGGTGCCATTCCCTTATGATTTGAGTCCATTTTATATTGTTTTCCCTTTTTATGTGTCCATTGCCATTTGAACTATCTTGTTTCCTTACTGTAGATATGATATCTTCTGCTCTTTTTTTCGGTCCTTAAGCGTAACGCCCAACATACTTCTTTCTCTCATGAGACATGGCAAGATACACGATTTAAACACTTTTTTCTTGGCTGTCATAGGAAAGTATTTACTTTTGAATATCTTAAAAAGAACAGTATTGATAGTTTTGAAATAAAGATTACTATATCGAGGTAATATATAAGACTAGCCTGCCAGGCAGACGTTGTTCTGCCCTTTTTACGACTCTGTCATGTCCTATTAAGAATCCTTAAATTCGCAAAAAATAAATTGTGGGTTACTCATGGGCAAAAAAAAAAACTATCCTATCTCTCAAGTTGGACCAAACTGCACACGGTGTGCAAATTTCATTAAAATCGGTTAAGTAGTTTAGGAGCCTATCGCGGACAAACAACGTGACACGTAATTTATATATATCAAGATAATCCACAAAACGGCATATTTTCGCATATCTCACTTAAGTAGCAACCATGGAGGTTAGAGAGAAGGAGAATGTCCGTGGAGTTTTTATATGTTTTGTTTTTATATTAATTTTTAAGCTATTGCATAGCTTCTATCGCGGGCCTTGAGCGCGGGGACCGAATCCAGAAATTCCGTAACGAAAAAAACCTCACGCTCTCCATTCGACGGCAGGGTAGGTATCTGAGGTTTTGTACGTATTGTACGACTCTACGAAGCTCGCACGAATCGAGACGAGCTGCTCCGAAATCGGACGAATACATAAGCAGCTGTTTATGAGAAAGTATATAGGTGTATAGGTATTTATGTACAACAGTGAATAGCTGTACTTGTAAAATTTGTGTATAAAGTGTTTTGAATATGAATGAACAAAGTGCATTTATTGTTTATTTATTTAATAAAAAGAAAAAAATTTGTTTTCTTATCGGTCACCACGCTCAAAAAGTGTAACTTGAATTAATATCAAAGAAAAAGAAATACTGCATAAATAAAATAAATAAATAATTATAATTGCATAAGTTGATACAAAATGCTATGCAATAGCTTTACCGCGGCAGTCCCCGAGTGCCACACGTCTTTTTTTAGATTTTGACATTTCTGTGATCAGTATGACAATTCGCGAACATTGCGCTAAGTCTCCTATTTGGCGTCCGTATATTGGACGTCGTAAGCAGGTTGACGTCACATATGTAAAATTATATTATATAGTAGTTATAACAGTGATTAGTTAAAATGGTCAATAGTACTATTAAACCTATTATAATATTCTCTATTCATAAACGTTCAATAAACCTGTCATAGTTAAATCATATTTATGGAATACCTACTTTAGTTTTATTATGTTGTCATTCTGATGAATCCATAGACAAGCCACGGTAAAAAAAAATAGTTTGACAGCAATTGTGACATTTCCCTCAAAACAAGCGTGGTGTTTTCGTTAAATCGATTCAAGAAATTGATTTGTTTTATATTCATATATAACTCAATAAAAATAATGGAAAACGTGACATATAAAAAGCGGCAAAGAAGTGAAAATTGGCCGGAGGAAGATAAGGTTAGTTTGTGACTAAAGTAATTTTCTCATAGGTGATTTAGTGCACAAATGTTAGAACTGTGTTGTTATAATATTTTTTTTTTTTTTGTATCCTTTTTCTTTCCATAGCATTTATTGATGTATTTGGTAAGGGAGCGTGTATCAGTAATTGAAAATAAAAATACTGATACAAATACAAACTCAAAAAAGCTAGCAGCATGGGCAGATTTATTATGCAGGTACATATTTTTGTCTATCAATTTGTGAAGTGTTTGAAGATGAGTCTTCAACGCAATGATATTCTATATACGATCAGTTACATTATTATGCAACAGAAGCATGTCACTTCGTCTCTTGCTGGTCTAATGCATATAAGCTTTTAAAGTCATAACAGTGGGCAGTCCACGTAGTTCGTAAAACATAGGATTGGACGGGTTGATCTACTATGATAAAGCGCAGAAAAGTCCTCAGGATCGCTTGCATTGTGATTGGCCCATTTTGAATATTAAAATGTCAAATATTTGTATAAATTGTGATTATACTTTTTTCCAGTTTCAACAGTATGTGTAAAGGTGGCACTCGCACTCTTCCCCAAATAAAATCCCAATGGAGCACCATTAAAATGACAAAAAAAGAAAATTAAGTCTGTCGAACGAAAGAATCTTCGCCAGACTGGTGGTGGTCCACATTCAACTACGAACCCTGAAAATGCAGACGACATTTGTTCATGGCTCCCTAATGAATTTGTCATTAACACCAATGAATTTGATTCTGATGAAATAAATCAGGTATTACATACGTCAAGATTATAAGTTAAAGTCGCAAGTTTTATCTCTACCCAGTACAAACTTTAATGTTGCGTAATAAATATATTTGTTCCTTTTCTACCTAAATAGCATACCTACTAAAGTTTACTTAATGATATAGTTATCAAAAAAAAATCCCTGCTTAATTACATTATTAATTTAATTATTTATTGCATTGTTTGTAGATTGGGGAGCCATCGCAAAATAAAATCAAAGTGGATGGGATAAATAAACTTGTCAATGTTGAAAACAAGTCTTCACATAATGTGAGCATCCATAAAGCATTGAGATAGCTAGCAATTTTCATATTTTTCATACCTATTTTATTTTTATATTTTACTGTTGTAGGACACAAAGAGTACAATAAAGGATGTCACAGTAGAAATACTTGAGGAGATCCAAACTACACGAGAGGTAAATATGTGAAACGTCATAAACCAAGTACTTACTAAATATTTGTCAAAGTGGGAATCGAACCCATAACTTGATTTGTAATCCTGGATTGTAAAGTTTAGGGATAAAAAAAAATAACGATATTAAGAAGTGATTGTCGAATTTCGCGTGATGTACATTTATATAGATATAATATCATATATACTTTCTCTGCGCGGCATTCATGTGCATTATCTATACACAAACAACAATCTATAAACAACAAAAACAAAGGTACTGAATAGTACACGTGCTTGGTTCGATGGCTTCTGTTATATACATAATGAAGAATGAATTTATTTATATATATATATATATATATATATATATATATATATATATATATATATATATATATATATATATATATATATATATACACACATCCCGTAACTTATTGTACGTCCACTATGGTCAATTTTACATATAATGTGACGTCAACCTGCTTACGACGTCCAATATACGGACGCCAAATAGGAGACTTAGCGCAATGTTCGCGAATTGTCATACTGATCACAGAAATGTCAAAATCTAAAAAAAAATTGGACGTCATTTTTCGTCCAATCTTGCTGTACTGAATATTTACGTAGTCCTTATAGTGGCACTTCACATGGCTATTTGGTATTTGTGATAGCATGTTGCCGTATTTGGCAAAAAAAATTGACGTAAGGGCAAATAAACGATATAACCGTCCACACATGGAGCCAAATACCAAAAAATGAAACATGTTTGCCAGCGTAAAGTAGTTGTACCTATAAAATGGACGTTGCACTTTCAGCTGGATTTTATTATTTGAACGCATGTTACTATTACATGTTATGCGTAAAAAAATACAAAGTGATAAAAAAAAGACCAAGAGCAAGGCGATGGTGGATGCTGACTGTGCATAAAAATCGAACCAAGTAAGTAATTTGTTTATTTCATTTGTAGAATGACTTTTGCATGACACGCAAATCATATTAACGAAAATTCCAATAAAATAAGAACCTAAATCTAATTAGTATATACAGAATAGAATAGAATAATTTTTTATTCAATATAGATCACATGTGTAATTCTTATTGAAAGTATTTTTTTTACTTTACCACTGGTTGGAAAAAAAACCCTCTGTCCTGAGAAGAACTAGCAAGAAATCCAGCAGGATTTTTTTTAAAATAAATTTTACAATATAAATGGTTACAAACTATTTACAATTTATTTTAGAAACAGATTGCAAGCGACTACCTCGTTCCCAGGGTTTATTATCAACCATGTATTCATTTATATTAGCCCTTTTTATAGAGTTTTTCATTAATTAAATATTTAAACTTGGTAATAGCTATGGAGTGTAGAGTAGACACTCCATAGTAATAGCGTATACATTGCCCCAAGAACGGGTTACTGACTTTATGGACTCGAGATATAGGTCACTAGCTTGTGTTTGTTCCTAGTGTTTACAGAGTGTATATCACTTTTTACTAAAACTGTCTATGTTCTTGTGAACATACATAAAATTTTGGTAAATATACTGAGAGGCCAAAGTTAATATATTAATTTCTTTAAATTTATCTCTAAGAGACTCCTCGGTTTTAGGTTGTAAATACACAATAAAAGTTATTTATATTTCCAGGGAATCTATGGAGACAAGGTTTCAAGAAATGTTAGCAGAACCCTCTAACGAGTTTGATAATTTCTGCCGAATGTCTTATGCAGATTTTAATTTTTTGTTACAAAAAGTCCATCCCATAATTTCTAAAAAGGATACAAAATGGAGAGAAGCTATACCTGCAAAAGTTAGATTAGCGATTACTTTACGATTCCTTGCATCAGGAGACAGTTATAGAAGCCTTCACTATACCTTCAAGATATCAAGTCAAATAATCTCAAGAATTATAATGGAAGTGTGTGCTGCTTTATATCAGGTTCTAAAGGATCAAATCAAGGTAAACAACATATATAATTTTCATTAACTTTTATTAATCGTAATCAAATTATTTTTAAGTAGGTATTAAATATGCTATTAATTATTTTTCCCTCGAGGTATTTGCGATGGTGATGGTGTATACGACACCATTCTAGAAGTAGGATTCGGTAGATTCAAAGGAGTATCATTAGAGTATTCTGAGTATTCAACATGATATGCAGGAAAAGGAGCATCCATTTGCGGTGAAGATGACGTATACAAAACCTTTGTAGAATTTGGATAACTGTTAACACAATTAAGATATTCCACTTCTGTCGGAAATGCAACCTGTGGAGGAGATGCGATATTGCTTTGCGGTGGTGATGGTGTATACGATAACATTGTTGCATCAGAATTAGGTTGACTGGTAGCAGAATTCAGAGATGCCACATCTGTCGGATATGCAACCTTTGGCGAACTTGCAACCGCTGACGGAGATGCGATATTGATTTGGGGTGGTGATGGTGTGTATGATAGCATTGTTGCAGCAGAATTTGGGCGACTGGAAGAATAATTAGGCAAATTGAAGTTGTAGACGTGTTCATCGACAAATAGCTCATGTATTTTTGCCATCATGATGTCTCGGCGTTGTTCAGAAAGTTTTCGTAGCTTTCTAGCCACAAGTACCCCAAAGGTAGAGCATTCATCATCTTCATCCTTTAGCTGCAGCTGGGAATGTTGCTTCATAAAACTATATGCTTCATCCATTCGTTTTTTCGCTTCTATAAGTTCAGGTGGATTATTTTGTCTTCTTCTATGCAATATTGGTCTTGCTGTTGAACCCTGTTGTTCATTTGAATTTAATTCCTGTTGTTCTTGGCTTCTAATATTTTGATCTATAGGGCCCTGTTCTGTGTTTTGATCTTCATTAATCGTAAGTTCTTCATCCTGCAAGTATAAATAACATTAATATTTTTGTTACAGTTGCCCGTGGTAGAACAAGACTGGTTGGACATAGAAGGTGGCTTCCATCAACGTTTCCCGCACTGCATAGGTGCGATAGATGGAAAACATGTAGTGATACAGTCTCCAGTTAACAGTGGCTCAGAATATTACAACTACAAAAAATCTTTTAGCATCGTTTTATTAGCTTTGGTTGATAGTAATTACTGCTTTATGTATGCCGACGTGGGATGTCAAGGGAGGATAAGTGATGGAGGCGTTTTGAAAAACTCCGTTCTGTGGAATAAAATAAACAATAATACGTTGGGGCTACCAGCACCAATTCCACTACAAAATGGAAATGGTGACTTGCCATATGTATTCTTAGGTGATGGAGCATTTGCCTTACATAACAATATCATGAAACCATATCCAGGGAATCATCGAGAAGGCACCAAAGAAAGAATTTTCAACAAGAAGCTTTCATCAGCCCGTGTTATCGTTGAAAATGTATTTGGTGTTATGTCTGCTATATTTAGAGTGCTACGTTCGCCTATGCTACTTGAACCTGAATCAGCTAGCCAAGTAGTCATGGCGTGTGTAGTTCTACACAACTTTTTGAGAAGAAGTAGACTGTCTAGAAATGTATATAATCCACCTGGTACATTCGACCTGAATGATGGAGACGACTTAATAATACCAGGGTCATGGAGGGCCGATATTCCCAACAACCCAGCACTGCGTGATATTCGTAACATTCCTAGAAGATCTCCAAGGAATCCAGTCGAAATCAGAAACGACTTTGCTAATTACTTTTATAATACATGAAACTGATTGATCTGTAAACTTACCTATCTGTTTATTATTTGAAAATAAAATAAAATTATTATTATAAAATTTATAGGTAGTTATATTTTTTTTATAGATAATAATAATAATAATGTCCTCCAGACCGAATTTCGGCCACGGCGGCCAGCCTCAACGGAGACTAGCCATCTGCGCAGGACAGGATTATAGTGCCCAAGTGTATGCGCAAGCACAGGAGCACTCTCTATTCCCTCACTCTCATAGCCCGATGGGACGGTAAACCGACACGACCGGAGAGAGATCGGGCGTAGGACCAACGACTTTACGTGCTTTCCGAGGCACGGGGGTGAAACACCGCCAACTTCCTGACTCCAGGCAGATACTGAGAATTTCTTGATGGAAAAACTCAATAACTGATTTTTTTGGCCCGACCCGGGATTCGAACCCGGGACCTCATGATCAGCAGTCGCACTACTACAACCACTAGACAAACTACTTTGGAAATGATTACAGTAATACATACAGTGGTATTTTACTTTGTGTTTTTATCATCATACAACCAGTTTAAAATATCTTTCTTACTAGCTTAGCTAGCTTAGCATGTAAAGGTAATATTATAAATGGACATATTATCCCTTATTCATCTTGGCTTTAATCATATTTATTTAATTAGTGTAGTGGTGTTTGTGATGTATATTCACTAATTAATTAACTATGTAAAAATAGTCTCCACACCATGTTTGTTTGTCTGCTGTGCACCATTTTTTGCCAGACCTACTAAAAAAGATTTTCCATCAATCTTAAAGTACCTATAAACGCTGAATGAACCTACAACTTTGTTTTATACTAATTTTAAGCTATTCTATTCTATAATATGTACTATTCTAACTCATAATATCGGTGAATACTACTAGAAAATAGTTTTTAGTTTGTTTATAGGTTATTGTGATATTCATATTTTTATTTTTAATTTTTCAGTATTCCCGTTAGATGCGGTAAAACTAATATTAATTTTGTAATTTATAGATGATAAGGAATAAATTGACATGCATTTCATTAATTGTAGCTAAAATTTGTGGTGGGCCCATTCTATATACAAAAAGAAATTGTCTTCTATAAATGTATTATTACTTACCACAGTGTTTATGGTACTGTTGCAGGTATAAACAGAATTCAAAAAACTATCCATGAATGCAAATGCAAACCAACTTGGTTGATACACATCGGATGCACCTGATCCGGATCGTTCGCTTTTCTTTATTTTGGTTTTGTAACCTCGGTACGCAGACATAAGCGACTCCTTCTTTTTTTTAAATCTTGCAGGGTACATGGTACACCCAAATTGTCTTTAATTGTATTCCAC